TTACTTCTAGAGTAGGGTACTCCGAGAAATGTGGTTATTTATATGAAATCCGAACTACTCTGGGCTTTTGTTTCACTGAAAGACTCACCTCACGGTGATTATGGAAATAAAAGCTGTTCTTCCCCTCTCGCTGAATTTAGGATTCTGAACAAAACTGTGGTGGAGAATACCCATCCTGGCTTGGGTAATTAAAGGTAATTAATCGATTAAAACCAGAACTCTGCATCCTTGGCTTGAGTCCTATTGCTTTCAGAGAGATCCTGTTCAATTTGGTCAAAAACAGCGTTGATGTGATTGGATACGTTTTAGAAAAACAGCTTCCAGTCCTCACTCCTGATGAAAAGATGAAGGAATAGATGGAATAGGGGAAGAAGGCATATATACATAGGTACTACCCTTCCCAGTCTGAAAGCCCAACTGGCTTTCAGAGGTAGCAGATCTACATCTGTGTGCATGCATGTGCATGTTTTATAAATGGTTTGATCTTACCTGCGCATCTGTGGCTCTGGTGACATCCCATTTGTTCACAATTCTGTAGGCTCCTCAGTAAACTTGCTGGATAGATGACAGTTCATTAAATTAGTTGACAATACACGTCCAGCCTTTCCACCCTCCTCCCCCAGCCCTAAAATGAAAATAAAGGCATTACAATGGCAAGAAGGAAAAATACTACGCAAATAGCTCTGAAAGCACTGACACATTTAAACTAATGCAGTTCCTAGAATCTCGACGATAAATGTGCTGTCAGGGGCATCACAGTTAGTGCAGTGACATGATCACCTTGCAATAGCACCAGTGCAAGCTGTCAGAACTGGTTATCTAAGTAGTCCTGAAACATTTTTTGACCACTGTGACTTTTCAGAGTCATGATGCTTTCAAAGAGCCCTTTTCCCCTTGTACCTCTTCAGGTGGCTTTTATATACCTGCATATATCACATTGCAAAACAAACTTTCCAGAGATGGCAGTTACTGAGATCAGTTGTTTTCTGAAATGTTCTTTGATGAAATGACGACAAAGTTTGCCTAACTTCCTGCATGGCAAAGAGTTTTTCCTCAAATATTATAAAAATTGCAACGAGGCCAACACCAAAGAACCCTTTTCAAAGGGTTCAACCCTTTCAAGCAGTTGGTTTTGTTTCTTAAAGTTGCTACAAATAATAGTTTACAAAATCCATTCCCCAGAGCTAAACTAATGCATCCCTGTAAAAAAACCCCATGAAACAGCCTTTCCATCATTTTCTTTAATGCACAAACTTTCTTGTCCAACTGGGAGTCTTAGAGCAGTCTATTAATTTTGACCATCAGTTCTCTGCTCTGATGCAATGTACAGGTAGTATGGTTGAGATTTAAAAAGCCTTTATAACAACTCAGAAATGTCCCACTCAAGCCCCTTCTTGTGATTAGTGGCTTTAGTTAACAGTGGTTAACACTTATTTGGAACAGGCACGCTATTCTTCCATTAAGCTTTATTTTGGTCATTCTTCCAATCTCCATTTAAATTCAGTTTTCCTCTTGGTTGGCATCCATACCCTTAGCTCCTGATAAACAAGATGCATTGCCAACTGGCACACGTGAGCAGAGCCGAAAGCAGCACTGCTAACCTCTGCTCCTTTCACCCTCTGCAAGTTTGAGACATGTCAAACTCAGTGTTTGAAGCCTGGGAAGTGGGAATCCCGAGTTGCTCAGAAACTCAAAGTGACAGACTTCGAGCTAGTAAGCTATTGGGCTGGCTCAGTGAGCTATAACTGTGTATACATTTTTGTAGTTTTTTTGTTCTATCAGCCCAGCAAGACAGATTCACATGCTCTTACTTCTGCTGAGTGTATCTTTTGCTGTAAAGAGATGGGCTGAAAACTGTGCAACTGACTAGACAGTTTTATTCACCTAATCTGATCCAGAATGACTAGCCCAGTAGTTTTAATTTCTAAATGGACATACAGAGGAGAAAAAATTTGTCCATTCAAAGTTGCTTACAGATTTTGGCTGTGTGCAGCGCTGTCTCGATTTTACATGCCCCAAATTTGTGTTCTTAGAGATTGCATACTCAGCAATAACAGAACAAAGTATGGAATCTGGAAATCTTTGTCACAGGTGGGGGAGGCACCATAAAGAAAGCCAATGAATGAAGGAGAAACGCAGACACTGTGTGAGCAGTGGGTGAGAAGACCCCTGTCCCCCTCCCCTGCCACGACCCAGCCCCTCCTCACGTGTGCAGCAGCCACCACCAGAGTCAGCATGCAGCCATGGGACCTGGGGCAGCATCTCCTGTAGCACAGTTTCTCCCTGCTTTTCACAGCAGAGACCAAATATACTTGCTCTGGGCCTTTTTTCAGAACATTTTTCAGGCATAATTGCTGACGGCTGTTCCCTTTTTAGGGTCAACCACTGTGTGTGGATGTCTGCGTAATCAAAACTGTATTTGACTTTTTTCCCCTTCAGTTGTGAGGTCAAGGCTTTTTGCCTTGTCTTTTCTACACTGGTAAATGTTTCTGTCCTCAAGTTTGTAAGGCAGGAAGTCTAGCCACACGACACCAACAATTTACATGTTGCCAGTCTGGAGAAAGAAAGTACACATTTAAAAGAATCAGCAGCCTAGGTAGGATATAATGTGACTGAAGAGTTTCACTGTAACATTGTAGAGTACAAAAATGAAAATATAAAGTGCGTTTTAAATGAATAATGTACAAAAGCTGACCTCTTCCAGTGTGCATTAATAAAAATAAAATGCACACTTTCTATAGTGGTTAATGTTGCAGGTCCATTATTCAGCTTTGATAATGTGCATAAAAATGCTCAATATGACAATGAGTTGGGGTAGCTGAGAATTTAGGATGGTGGCAAGTTTGTTGTAGTATTTGGATTAGCATTCTTAACCTACATCTTGACAGCTTCTTTTCTTCATTTCACAAGCATTAATAAAATCTAGCTTTATCCTCTTAGATTTTTTTTTTTAAACAAAACAATTAAGAAATACCTGCTCAAACAAATACTACTAGCATTCATTAGTCAGGATGGTCATATGTAAAAGAAATGATGCCAGATAGTAACAAATCCAAGAGAAGTTTATTATGAAAATGGCACCTGCGGGATGAAAAAAAATTAAGTTACATAAAGACAACCATGTATGACATGTATGAGAATCTACAAAAGTATAAAAAGAACCCTGTTGTAAATGAAGTATGTACATTTCTGATTTGCAGCATTATCAATGATCAATGAAAAAAATGTTTCAAATAAGCCAGGCACTCAAGAAGTTAGATTCGGTTAGCTTAACACAAAATAAATGTACCATAGCTGTAACTTTTTAACATTTTAATTTTTTTTATATTGTAGAGTTGGTAACACTGCTAAGATTTATACGAACAGAATCCCTTTCCCATTATTCAGCTACTTGGCACCAGTCTCCTCATAAAAGATTTCATATATTTGTACAAGAAATAGTTAAAAACACAGACACAGTCTTCACAGGTAATGAAGTTTTTTTTTCATTTTGTAATTTTAAACACTATGGATTTAGACAGCAGCTGTGATTATCTGTTAGTTTAAATCACCAGAAATCATTTTGACACAACACAGAAACATTTATAAAAAAAACCCAAAACAACAACAGCTGTCTAGCTGTTCTTTGTAGCTGATAGGTGCACTCCTTTGATTGTTCCACAGCTAGAGTAGAGCTTCCAAAATTAAACTTTGAATTTCCCAATCAGCTTTCTTGCCTTTTTCAGACCTACTTAAACCCTTCCAATGGAACCTTTAAAAGCTCATTAATTAAATTTGTGGTGTCCAATTCCTTTTTCGCTATTACTCCACTGTGGCTTGGATCTACTTCTCAAATTCAAAGCTACCGCAGGAATTGACTCAACGCAGTGAGTGATCAAAAATTCAAAGGATGGCTGAGTTAATATATTAGCATTGCACACATAAGCAAATATTTATGACAATTCTAAGCTCAGTTTCCTTTTTAAACAACTCTGGTCAACCTTTGAAAGCATTTCCTATCTCACTGGTAATTGCTCTACGTATTACGCCGCCAGCCTACCTGGGAGAAAACCAAAGAAATGCACCCTCTGCTTACAGTTCGCGCACAAGGGACTCTGGGAATGTTAACAACTGAGGCTATATGGCGTCAATTTGCTTAATATATCTGAGCATTACTCTGTAGTGCATTGTGGGGTACACCGGAAGAGTAAGTCATACCCAGAATTCCTCTGTGGGAAAAAATGGCTCCATTAACCTTGAGCTAGTTAAGAGTCTTTTATCTCTGAGAGTGAAGAAGAGAGAACGAGGGAGCGAGAGAAAGAGAGGGGGGAGAAAGTGTGGAGGGGGCGGGGAGAGAGGAAGGGGCAGAGAGAAGTTTGAGAATACACAACAGCAAAGCAACAGCAGAAATTAAAAGGTATACAGACAGTGGAAGCAGCATAAGGTGACATTACAGAGGAAGGCCACCACACAAAAACCACTAACCCCCAAGAATCACTGGTTCACTAGGACTGCAGGAATGGGACTTTACCACTCCGGACTAGAGATAAAGCACAGAGAAGACAAAGGACAAAACAACTACATTAGCTTAGTATATACTGCATATAGTAACACACATTGAAACTGCAATGGGACTGACAGCCAAGGACACTTACACATTGTACACATTACAGTTCTCACATCTGTTATTAGATGCCTTAACAAACAGCTGCCAAAGATGGAGTGGAAGAAGAATTTATATTTGACAGTCATTTGGAGTGTTTGACACTACACTGTGATTTCTGGCAACAAAGACAAAATAGGAGATTTCTTTTCTTTTCCTTAATGTGCAGTTTTCGGTTGTAGTTATCTATTTCAAGCTTATTAACCCATTCTTTAGTTTTAAAACTTATTGGTTTCAACACTAGAAATAAGGAAAAAACAACAAAAAATACCCAAATCAGAGAACAAAAAGAAATTTACAACCTTCCCTCTATAATATTAAATGAAAACAAAACAAAACTTGTTAAATAGTTCTTCTGTTTTTTTTTTTTTACTCCGAAGTGTTATTTGACATTGTAAAATTAGCCTCAGTTACACTGAGAAAAAAATAAAGCAAAACAATATGCACCTAAGAAACTGCTCCTCGCGTCAATTAAATTGAGTTTTTTGTTTTTAAGCGCTTTTTGAAAAAGGCTTCCTGACCCATTTAAATTTGTTGTGAGGCTATGCTTGTTAGTTTGGAGGTAAAACATTTTAAGTCCTGCAGCAAATGTTAATGAGGGCTTTTATCTTAACTAACCAAGGAGACTGCAGCACCCAACTATAAACCAGTACGGAACACATTCTTTCCAAAAAACCCAGCCCACAAGCTGCATATTGTATGAAGACATTACAGATTAATAAATGATAGCACCATGGTTTTAGAAATTAAGTTAAAGTTTCAGTAATTAACATTTAGTCCAACTTTTTAACATTCTAGTCACAGGCCAGAAATTAACTTTTTAAGAACCCAAATTATTTTATGTGCAAGTAAGAAAATCTTAACCATAAAAAGAGAATTAAACTCTGCATAAAATTCTAAAATACTATCCCCTATTTTTAAAGGAATTAGGAACAAAAACCCCTTTTCATTTGACTTAGTCAAACAGGGCACATTGTTTATGCTTGTCTCTTTTAATCTTGATCATATCAAGATCATTTTGAAGTAAAACCAATGGTTGTCACTTTAAAATCTCTTTACCACAACACTGAGTATTCCATGGCAGAGGCATACACATATTAAAGGCATCTTAATAAAGATGCAAAGGAAAAAACACACATCTTAGAAGAAGACAAAATGGCAGGCAACTGGTACTTCAACTCTCTGAGGGCAAAAATAAAAAAATATCTTTACATTAAAGAATAAGTCAAGTTAAAGAGAAAGGGAATGAAATGGGGACCATCATATTGAGAGAATAAGCTGACCTGCTCAAATTCAAAGTGCTAGAATTAAAGGTCTAAATTAAAACATAGTCTATGCCTCAGAGTATAACACTGAACACAGTATGTGGTCATATTTCAATCCTCTTTCCGTTCCAGAGTCTGTGTAGTGTGAATGCCATTGCTGTACACAGGAAATGGAAGAGTGGAAAAAAGTCCTTCGGCAGTTGTGAACACGTTCCCTGCAGGCATTTGGGTCAGACTGGCCCCGCTCACAGCACTTCCAAACGGTCCCGACATATTGAGTCGGTGAACGTGGTGATAGAGCATTTCCATCGGTGTTTTAGGATCCAGACCAAAGCTGGGGCTGTTAACGTCAACAAAGTTAACAGCATGGGTGTTGGGGAGGAGGTTGCCCTGCATGGCTAAAGTAACTTCAGCTGGAGCATACCGAATAGTGCCAGTGGTGTAGACCCTCTGAGCAGCAGTGCTGGTCGCAGCAAGGGTTCCTGTTACCCTGTGAACCAAAGGAAGCACCACATTGCCTGCTTGTAACCTCTGAAGGGCTTCCAGATCCCCAGTGTACAACAAAGAGTTGGAAGTTGTGGGACCTCCTGGATGTTTGTCCCGTGGAGATGCTGAAAGTGGGGGTGACAAAGGGTCAGAGGACACAGGAGCCAAGGCTGAGTTGGATGAGGTGCTGAACTGAGTTTTACGGCTGGCAGTATTTTCAGCCCCTGGTGGGGTGAGAACGGAGTCTGGAATGGAGACATGTAAACTACTGCTGGCTTGGGGGGAAGGGAAGTGCTCAGAGCTGGGGGGCTTGGTCATACTGTAGGGTGATTCATTCCTTGAGATTTCCCTGTTGGGTGGGTAATTCCAAATACTGCTATCATTATCAAAATTGATAGGTTCTGAGATTTCTGTTTTAATTTTGAGCACTGAGGCACTGTTTGGCGATGAGAGCAGCTGGGGTTGGTCCACCAAAGCTGAGTCAAGTCCATTTGGACTTGAGGTGCTTGACAGCCTTCTCCGAGTCATGCTGCCTCCCTTTTGCTTTTTTCTCCTCTTCTTCCTCTTTTGATGTTTGCTGGAAGACTGGGCATTTACTTCCCCTGCACTGTCTGAGTCCTTGGCACTGTCCGAGGTCAGCGACTCACAGTTCTGCAAACGCAAGTCTGACTCACTCTCAACATAGCGCTCCACCTTGATCTGCATAGAGCCAAGAGTGCCAAAACTGTCCTCAGGGGCCTTTTGATTCTCGAAGTCAGAGTTTTCAAAGCTGTCATCACTGTCCCTGCTGTCCTGGTTGCTGGAGCTGTTCCCATCATCATTACAGTTCATTTCATTATCTGACTGATTTCCTGACTTTTTCCTGTCAGATTCAGGGTCTTCACTGTTTTCTGACTGGTTTCCTTTCTCATCTGACTTTGAGTTCTCATTGTCCTCTGGAACAAAAGGAAAGTGAAATAAACCATTAACAACAGGAACATAATATTATAACCCCAGTCCAGATTCTGCCTACTAATGAGATTTGATTGCTGTAAAACTTTCTGGCAAAAGGTGTTATCTTCTGCAGAGCCACAGTTTTTTGCAATGTTGTGTTGGGAGAGTTTTGGTCACCATGAATCTCTCTGACTCAGGATTGCTATATGGCCTGCACCTTGATTGAGGGGGGCCTTTTCATCATTTTGACAACTGTGAGCACAACGGCATTGTAGCCGTGTCATCCAAAGAGGAGTCAGTGAACAATCCCATTATGATCGTTATGTTCTGGTCATTGTTCTTATGTTCTGGTGATTGTTCTTTCACATGCGTGTTCTCCTGCAGTGGGCAGGCATCCAGGTGTAGCACTATTAACTAATGAAGATTCTAGTCCTCTCATCTAATTTTCTTCTCACCATTGCCACTTTCAAAGTGGCATACCGTCTCTAACTTCAATGGAATTACTGCTAATATCCTCCCGTGTGAGAGGAGAAGCAGGTCATATGTGTATAAATCTGAATGAATAAACCAGTTATAACAATTTTGTTACATTGCTAGACTGCCTTCTCATATTCCCCTGAAGGGCAACACATTAAAAAAAAAAAAACAAAACACAGAAAAAAAAATTCAGGGAGTGAATTAAATTCTTGATTGATCAAAATCATCTAAGGGCCATTGAAAATAGCCCAGCTACAGCACTGAGAAGCTGTCACTCTTCTTGCCTGAATTAATTTCGTTGTGTTTTAGATTTTTACCTAATTCTAATACAGATGAGATAAACACTCTAGCCCACTGGACTCAGACAGCCAAAGCAGCTTTGAGAATGAATACTCTCCATTATCATACTGTGATTGAAAGGGTCATGAAAGGCTTCAGGAGACCCTGTCTTTCACAGACCAGCCAGAAATCTTTTGTTGGGAAATAAAAGATGTTTTTTCACTCATCAGAGCCAAGTACTACCCTTTTCAATATACTCATTTTAGGTGGAGAGGGGAAGGGCCAGCTTTCCTCTAAAGACTGGTTACCCCTGGAGCCATGTCAATACCAAACAGTTTCCCAGAAGTGCTGGAGAAGGTGGGCTTGACAGGAATGCTGCCTGAGGATTCAGGGCAATGAACTTCACAAGTCACTTAGCAGGACATTTGCTTGAGCCATCAGCAGCAGAGACCTCCCCTTTTGAAAAATAAAACCCACAGAAGTGAAGTAACAGCCACAAACCCCTAGATCTCTTCCTGCTTTTTGTTCCATCTAGGGCTAAATTTGTCCTACAATTTTTTTTTCTTATTTTGAAGATGCTTTCTTTTGAGGACAGGGTTTCTAGCTGCTCAAGAGTGGGTTTAGGGTAAGGTAGGCTAAAGCTGCACAAAATTTGCCTGGGATTTTATCAGAGATTGAACCGAACTTGTCGGTTTCTTCCAAGATGCTGTTCTGATTTCACGTCCTTTGGCATTTCCATTTAATTCTTTTGTAAGAAACACCCTCCTGCCTCTGCTGTCTTCCAAGTCTCCCACACACCTCTTTCTGAGCCGTACACATCTGTGCACCTTTGAAGAATACTCTCTTTTCTCACCTGGAGAAACCTAGAGTGTGCATGAGAAATGCAAACTGTTCTCCACACATGTGTTACTAAGCTATTTAGGAACAAGACAGCATAAAGGAAGCACTGGGAATGGGTGAAGAGATTCCCAATGATGGTAGGCAACAAGTGTGCATGTGTGCCTAATGTTGACTTAAACCATCAAACCAAGCTGTCAAAGGAGAACAAATAAAGGCAAAAGATGAAAGAGAATAGCCATATCATATAACACTAAGGCTTGATCCTCTTGTTGCATTTGGTTGATTTCTGTTACTATGATCCATTTTCTCCAGATTTTTTTTGGTTGTTATCACAGACACGAGAGAAAAATCAGATAGATATCTCACATACTACAGCAAAGTGACATCCTTAGTTCTTGGGCCACAGGAAACCATGCTTCTTTCAAAGCCAGATGATCTGTACCTGTACCTAGGTAACCACTTTTAGAACTGATGGGGAATGTGTGAACCATCTGTGCACTGGACCATTGGTAGGACTAATACACACATTGAGTTTGACAAGTACATTTAGCTTTTAAAAAAAAGCTGAAGTCCCATACTTAAAGACCTTAGAAACAAGTGTTTGAACCCATACCTTCTAATAAAATATAATTCTTTTAACCCAAGAAAACCCTCAAATTTTGCAATCTTCACTGCCCCCCAGTGAGACTCCTCAAAAATGTATTTACACAGGAAAAAGGGTCATAAAGATTTACAGTAGAGATTTATCTACAGAACGTATGCCTAATCTGGAAAGATAAGAACTAGAATTATATTCAACAGTTATAAGTCCAGGTCGTCTGCACAAGGCACAGTACTTGTTCATGAAGCTTAGCTTGGAAATCAAATATTTAGTTCAGTGCAATGTAGGCAAGGATGCATTCACAAAGTGAAGAGAAACATTGAGGAAATGGAGATACTGTGGAAATGCTGAGGTCATTGAAAGATTTTACTAGTGTTTTTCAATTTAATTTTAAAGGATTTATTTTCTTGTTATAATTGACCAATCTTTGAGAAGCAAACACAACTGGAAAGCAAGCCATGTGGCTCTCATGATATGAACCTTTTGTGGGTGTAAAGGCATACCATGTGTGTTACCTGAGTTGTCCTTTGAATCAGATTCCGAGTCGGAGGTCTCTGAGGATTCTGAGGTTTTCTCTGGCAGATGAGGAAGTTGTGCAATATCCATTGGAGTGTCCTTGTACTCCGGGTTACTGAAGAGGAGACAGCAAATACAAACACAATTGGATTATTTACAGTTCCATGGTTTTTCCCTCTTTTCATATCAAAGTTCAGGAACAAAGAACATAAATAGCAAGAATAGCAGAGCAAACACAGAAACATACATTTTCAGTTTCTCAGAGCTTCACAGCAGAGATTTTATGAAGGTTTATTTTGATACTGCTGTCAAATACTTATATTGACCAGGTACTAAAACTCATTTGATTCTAGTGAAGTTTTAGAGCTATCAAAGCATTCTTACTGAAGTGGGACGCCATGGCTTGTATGATATCTAACAGTAAAGCTACACTGTGTAATCATCCAGCAACAAAATACCTCGATTTTGATCCCATTACTGTGCCTGGAAGGACGTAAAGGGTGTTTTAACTTTTCCAATCTGTTTCTATCCCACTGGCAATGTCTATTAGAGTTATCTCTGTAACAATGTTCTCTATCAGCTTTGCCAGAGCCCTTTCAATACTTGTTTTTCTCAACATTCCTGTTTTCCACACTTTAATCAAGCAGACCATACATAAAGTTAGTAAGAAGGTGCTCAGATAGGGCTAGAGAAAATGACCACTGCTCAAAAGAATTTGGCAAAAAAATAGTTTAAAAAGGTTATCTAATTTTTAAACACTGCACACACGTGTCCACATCACGAAGAAACCAAAAAAACTCCACTCTAACTATATGACAGATGCACATGTGCATGTTAAGATGCATATGTTAGGGATAAAGAACTGTCAACACACCCATTATAATCATATCTTCATCTGCTCATGTGGTGCTCACCTGTGACTTGTTAGTAATGAACATGACTGCAATGTAAAAAAGCTACGCTACCAGAGAAAAAAACCCCAACAACCCAACCCTATTCTTCTTCTTGGTTTGTACCTTTAAAAAATTTGATCCTTTCCCAAATCCATGCAAAAGCAGGGTAACAGAAGCAGCTAGACATAAGTGGCATAGGAATGTTGAAAATAAATAAAGTCTTTAATAATTTTTCAATAGGTGAGCATTTCTATGCAGTTCAAATTCCAGCCCGATGACAGAGCAAAAAATCTGCAGTCCTGCATAGATCAATATGAGGGAGCACTGGAGGTGACTGACACACTATCCCAATGACAGTGTGCCCATATTCAGCCTATTACAGTGTACTGTGAAAATTCAGAGTTCACATAGTTCACACTGAAATGCCATTCTTATGATTGTCTTCTTTATGGTTTTGTCCTGACAAAGTGACTTTATTCTGTTTCATCCCAGGGCAGTCCTCAAATTTGCTCCCTTCAAGCAAAAGATGTTTGAGGACTTTCACACTGTGAACAACAAGTTGCTAGAACAAGAATGGCATTAATTCTCCCTGTCACTAGAATTAGTCTATCCTTTTACAGACAGCTGAATCATACTTTCTAATGCATAGAAACCTATACAGATCAATACCTGTTAAGAGTAGACCTAATTTTGCCTTGATCTGTCATTAAAATATTATTTTGACATTTGTATCTTTTGTGGATTCCAGTACTAGAAGAAATCTAAATTAAAAATACTGATTCAGTGGAGAAGTTAATCTTTCTCTAGCAGACCGGTGAAGGGAATGCAGTAGAACTCCCAAACTCTGGGAGGACACTTAGGGAAGACCACACTGCTTTTCTTTTTTTTCTTAAGTATATTCTGTTCCTACAGAAAAAAAATTTTGTGGGATGTTTGTGGGCTAGGTTCACCTATTGGCTGGAAAGCAGCAGTGGGGACTGAGGCAACTGTTCATAATTCTTATTTTTTCCAGCTATAATACGAGCACATTTCTGGGCATATTGAAGCCCTGTTAGGGCTGGAGCAGTGAAGATTTACTTCCAGTTCAGAACTGGCAGGCTTCAGCTGACCTCTTGAAATGCTGCATTCTGCCTCACTCTTGCAAAAAAAGATTAAAAAGTAGCAGATTAAGGATATATTCAGAAATGCCCATGCTCAATCATAGCAGCACAGAAACATGCAAACCCCAATGAATACTCCACTGCCATGGAAGGTTTCCCACAGTATCCCTCAATGCTCTCCTGCCAAAGGTTGCTTCCTTCTCTTCCCCTAAAGGGGAATCAAAAGTATCTCAACATGTAAGCATAGCCAGGCACAGTCTCTTCAAGGCTTGCTGGACTTGGCATAATAAGTCAGTCTAACCCCTAGACATCACTTTGAACTCTCATGGCATCAAAGGGAATGTAACAAACCATGACAAGCAACTTAAAAGGAGAACAGGCCAGAAAATGACAATTGCATTTCATGACAATCTCAAGGTTTCAAATTTTATTTGTTTGTTTGTTCTGCTCTGGAATGAAACAGAAAATCCCCCAATGTTGTTGAACATTTTCACAAAACAGAATGTGTTGAAAGGTATTTTCGGATGCGAAAGGTCAGGTTTATAATTCACTGTCTCTCAGTGACTCCTCGTCTTCCCTTGAGCTCAGAAACCAGTACTTTAAAGATACTTGGGCTTTGGTAAAACAGAATTTCTCAGGGAACAGCCTTTCATTCAAGATATTACTACTATTTCTGTTTAAAATAGTTCTAATAGTTTAAAATAGTTTTAATTGCTACTTTAATTTTAAAATCCTATTTTACATTTTTCAGTGTGAACACTGCCTGATGGTTACAGGAGCAACATATTATTTAAAGGCTTTTCTCCCGAGAAAATTTCTCTCTCTGGAGTGAACTGGCAAACACCTTTCAGAGAGACCTTTTTGTAGCACTCCCGAAGTTTACTTCTATGCATTTTCAATAACCGAATAAACCAGTGCTCAACACTTCACACCAGATTTTATAACACAACTACTGAAATTTGGTGTGGATCATTTTTATCTTTGAGCTCAGGCTGAGCAGATTTCAGGGCAGTGGAGGCATGCAATAAAATGGTGGAAGGTTTATCTGAAGACTAAGGCAGCATAATAATTCAAGAATATTCCAGTGTACTGAGATGTGACAGATGTCTCAATAAATATAATGAAATGGCACTTTTTTTGAGGTGGACCTTATGAAAAGTTCTTTTCCTTAACTTTCTCTAGTAGGCAATTGTTTCTTCCCTAAAACTCTCACCAACAGACAAGCAACAGAGACAGCAGTTCAAGTGAGAGAAGTGACTGGAAGACCTACCTAAGAAGGTAATTGACCCAGATGATATTCTTCTCACTTGCATTCTTGGCATTGACAGCTATGGTTGCACTAGACTGTATCCAGATATAACCTCCGTTCTTCTGCATCCAGCGGTAATACTTTGTTACGCATTGACCCTTATTCAGCACTGGCAAAAAATATAAACAAAACAGAAGGAAGATATAGTGCATGTTAGAACTGTGGCAAAATTATCTTTATTGTACAACATGCCACAAGTATGAGCAGAAGTTACTTGGCTTCCTTTAGCTTTAAAGCAGCATGCCAGGGAGATGACAAACAGGATCTGAAGTTCAGTATAACAAGCTGTATGTTTTACAAGTTTATAAAGTATGATTTTAATTTGCTTTTGGAAACTCTAGTGGAAGAAGAAAAGTAAAAAGAACTACAAATCTCTTTGGTTCACAGAATACTTATTGCTGTGTGGACATTTTCAATGTGCTCAATGTCAAAGTGTAAAAAAAGAGAAGGGAAAAAAAGAGGGAAATTTAGATGTGATTTATTCATTGCTCCTAGGTAGACCTCTTTGAGATTCTGGATATTTGAAAGGTTTGGGAAGATACTCTACCCCTGCTGCTTTGATCATTTCTCCTTATTGCGGGTGATATCAACCACTGAACTCATACATCTCTTTCTTTGATCTTGTCAAACAGAATTTACAGTTCTCAGATGAACCAAATCTCCACTGGTCAGTGGGGGAAAGTCTTGGGAGAATTTACTTTCTATCAGAGCAAAGTAAATCCACCAACAGACTGAGAAAGAGGCCTAAAGGAGGCACAGAGTGGCTTGGTTACAGCCAAAGAGTAACAGCTCTCTCCAATGTTTGAAATAGGCTAGGAAACAGACAAACAAGTAAAAGCAATCAGTAATGTGAAATGGTGTTATTAAATGCTCACAAAAAAGAAGGCTTAAAAATACAGATGTTTAAAGTAATACTTCAGCCAAAACATTACCAAGTTGAAACGGATTTGGCTTGTATCTGATGCTTCAGTGTCAGGAGAAGGGGATGAAATGCAAATCTGTCAGTGGAAGGGAGCAGTACGGTTTTAAAGAAAACCTAAAGTATACAAAATCTGGGTACTATTGTTACTGGAGCACTTTCTCTCCTCTGCATTTCTCACTAATCCTACAAAGCTTCGTAAGCTTCGTGCACTAGAGGGCAGTGTGCATTCATATACACCTTCTGCTTTTGTCATGTCCTTGTCTCCGTCTGCTAAAATGAAAAACCTCTAACTGCTGTAATAAATTTGGCTAAATTAGCTGCTAAATGGTTATCTCAAGTAATATGTATTTGCATTAATCATCTTGCTCTAAACCAGAACAAGCCAGAGTCCTAAAGACGTAGTAAATTCATATTGTCCATTTAATTACGGCTAATAAGTGCTTCATATACAATAGTTTCATGAAGTACATTTTGATTTTTTTTTGTAGAGGGAAAAGAAAAAAGTCACTTTGGAAAAGAATAAGTATTTAAGGCAGTTAAAGTTTCTACCATAAATGTGACAAATGACACTTCGGAGCTTTCAAGTTAACCAAATGTCTATACCCCTAATTATACATCGGAATGTATCTATATCTAAATCTGTGTACAGCAGATACCTACAGAAAAAGATATTTACAAAGGCAGCCATACAAACACAGATGCTTTCTTACCTTGGAGGGATCCCCCAATCCCCACTCCAATTTTGCAACTACTGAATCAAAAAATGCATGGAAAAAAAGTGCAATGTAATGTGAATGTAAAGTTCAAGTTAGGTTCAGCTGTAATATGAACAAATATTTATGATCTGGGTCCTGTTGTTTTTCAGTAACCTCTAGTTAACTTAGGTTTGTTTCTAGCAGAGATCCATAAGTTTCCCTAAATTTTTACTTTTGTATTCCAAGCTCTAAATGTTCTGCTATGATAATGACTGGCTTCAAAACCTCATTAGACAGCAGAATAAAGATAAAATACGAACAACTGCATTTCTGTCGAACCAATGTTGTATGTCACTTTAGAAAACAATCTCACATAAATTAGCCTAACTTTATCAGTTATGAAGAATAAGGGAAGAAAAGTACTGCTGTAAGTTTTGATTATGGCAAACTTTTCCATTTCAGTAAAATAGGACATTCAAAATACTCTGCTTACAGCTGACAGTAAAACTGATATGTCCGGAAATCTGGAGTGATATTGGCTCCTTCATGGAAACCTGAACACCCACAGGTTTGTTCAGAAACTAGCAAAATCTATCTGCACTTAAATCTACTAATTATACTGTTGCCTTCTTTATAACAGTTTTTATCTGAGGAGCTTATCATGCTATACAAACACCAAAGGATGAATCCTCACAACTGCCCACATACACATTTGAAAGTGAAGGTAGCAGATGAGTCCCTAGCCTGTGACTGAAGAGCACACTGCTCTTTCAGTCCATTTCATCCTAGACAAGTCCTTCTTCCTTCAGTACCTTTCATATTGGTTGTTGCAACACTGGAAAAGTCTATGTCATGAGCTGAACAGAGCATTCATTTCAGAACTATGGAAAAAAGGGGGAAATTAAAAACTTGTAAGTTATTTCTGAAGGAAAACGGTGCTTGCTTTTTCAAGAAAAATATTTCAGTGCATCAGAGTCACATACAAACCATCTACAGTCAGAGCTCAGGATCACAAATAACTATACATCCAAAGAATATTTTAAATACTGTATTGAAAATGAGCTTTCCATGAAGTTCATCTAGCTGCAAATTCCCACTCTCTATTTGGCCAGCTCAGATATATTATACACAGGATTTTCCTTCCTGCATCCGTCTAAAGCACATTTCATATGAGAGATTTGTGGACCATGCTCTGAAGGGAATCCCACGATTCAATATAAAAATTCTCTCTGTAAAGAGATTCTCCAGTAGACCAGCTGTGCTGTACTGCTAAATCTGGTTCTTACATCCTTTGAGAGTGCATTAGACACCCCCAAGCCAGTTCTGAAATCTCATACTATAGCCTGGGAAGAAATTCCTCAATGTGATGAAAGAGAAAGAATGAAAAAAAATTGAAATGTTTTCTAATTTACTGTATTTTTTAACTGTTGGCATTGCCAAGCTGAAACTTAGAAATTAGATGAGAATTTTGAGAAAATAAGCAACTAGAAGGAAATATCAGGAAAGGAAATCCATCTGGTTTATTGATAACCTAGTATTACTGAGCAAAGTCCAGTTTCATTTTGAGGATCTTCAGTCTGCAGGTACAGGGAGTCCATTAGTAAAGTTACTGATTTTGAGAAGAAATTAAAATAAAGAATTAGTCTACCCTTAGCACCCTTATTTTTGTACACTGAGAAATGCAAAATTTTTAAATTTCTGTTTGTACAATACATGAAGTACACAGTCTGGCAGGCAATGCAGTATGGGGGAAACTAAGACTTGTGACCACATCGGCGGGATGGCTTGTGTGACTGAAGTTACATGACATTGCAGGATTGGGTGTATCAGTCCATTTGTAAGAATAGCAGGGGAGGTGACTTCTCTTACAGGCTTAGTTTCTTCTGCTAACCAATGCACAAGTCTCCAAAATGTTAATGGGAGATACACATTTGAACGAAAGAGGAAAAAAAAAGGCCTTGTTGCTAAGCCATATTGTGTGGAAGTACAGAGAACTCTTTCTAACACTGGATTTCAGCTTAATAGTCGTCAGGAACAATCTTTACAGTTAGTCTGACTGTGAATAGGAGAATGAAACAAATCTTAAATATTAGGAGTAGGATGACAAATACAGTTATATATATACACACATATATATAAACCCTTTAATCAAAGGGAACACTTGAGGGTTAATATTTTAAACTGGTGATCTTTACATTAGCTGCACAGATATATTCCCTAAAATGGTGGATGCTAAACTTGACTAAAGTTTGCTGAAATGTTACGTAGTTACTCAATTTTAATTCAGTGGTTAGCATGCAAGAAATGCACAGTATACCATACTAAGAACTAAAAAAAAAAAAAAATCTCACTTATTTGTTGAAATATGAATATATTGCTATGTACACAGTTCCCAACAGAGGGATTTCAGTTTTCCTTGGTAGCTTTGTGCACAGCAATATTCTTGTAGCAGTGTAGTGAAGGAGGGGGGAGAAGAAGAAGAAGAAACAGTCAGTGTTCTTTGCAGAAACCTATTTCTGTTAGAAAATAAAAATAAATGAGTACAAGTTTGTCTTCAGAAATATGTTTACAAAAAGAAAAAGAACATAGTTTCTTCCGGTAAGGCTGTTCTGAGAAATCAAAGCCAAAGCTTCTAAATAGTGAGTTGTGTTTTAAAAGAAGGAAGTAGCTTAATTCAGTTTGAAGAGGAGATGAAGAAATTGTGTATCAAAAGCAGTCTTTTAGCAAAGTGTCTTACAAAGGGACATTTTACCCATGTGCATATGCATTTAAAAGCTACACTATATTGTGTATTCAGGTAAGTATTGAGTAAATAGGAAATGATGAGATCATCTTACATATTCACACAGCTTCACAAAGAGGCTTTTATAATTGGTAAAAATATTGAGGTTACATCTGCTGTGCTATTTACCCTTCCCCTTGAAATACCTTTATCAATGACTGGATGGTATTGATACTGAATTCCTCTTGTGATAAACTTATAAGAATATTTTAAATTTACTGCATAAGGACAAAAAAGCCATACTTAATACCATAGTTGGATACTTAGCTGCAGCCACAAGTACTCTTTCTACATTCACAAAACTGGCAGACGAAACATGAAAAGGAATACTGACTCTTTAATCTCCACTTCTCCACCTAAGGCCCAAGGCAAGCTGACAGGGTAACTTCATTCTGGAAACAGAGGGGGTTTTATTTTTTTAATTCTGGATTACTTTTTCTTCTGCTTTTGAAAACTGTGGGCTATAGGGGAATGAACCTGGCATAGACTTAAAACAAGAACAAGTTTCTTTATCTGAAAAGTTACAGTCCTTGATGCTTACAGGAAGGTCATTTTCAAAACCCACAGGAAAAATAGCATCACAGCCAGAAACAGTGCATTAAGTGCCTTATTTGCTTGTAACAGAGACAGTTTTTCATTTACAACAGCTCTGAGGATCAAGTGAGCCTTTGATGTTGTAAGGACTTCTCTATAGATTTTGCAATTAGTGA